AAACACTAAGCACAGAAAGGAACAAGTACCAGTCACTGCAAAAGCAAACCAGTTGGCAAAGACCAAAAATGCAGTGAAGAAAATGAGTCAACTATTGGGAAAGAAAACCAACCAGTAACAAAATGGCAGGATCAAATTCACACATATTAACATTGAATGTAAATGGCCTAAACACCCCAATCAAAAGACACAAAGACACAGGCTGGCAAACTGGATAAAAAGTAAGAACCCGTCGGTGTAATGTATTCAGGAGACCCATCTCACATACAAAGACACACATAGACTCAAAATAAAGGGATGGAAGAAGATTTATCAAGCAAATGGAGAACAAAAAAAGGGGGTTGCAAGTCTCTGATAAAATGGACTTCAAACCAACAAAGATCAAAAGAGACAAAGAAGGACAGTACATAATGGCAAAAGGATCAATCCAACAGGAAGAGCTGACTATCCTAAATATATACGCCCCCAACACAGGAGCACCCAGATACATAAAGCAAGTTCTTAATGACCTAAAATGAGATTTAGACTCCCACACAATAATAGTGGGAGACTTCAACACTCCACTGTCAATATTAGACAGATCAACGAGACAGAAAATTAACAAGGATATCTAGGACTTGAATGCAGAGATGGACCACGCGAACCTAATAGACATATACAGAATGCTCCACCCATATCCACAGAATATACATTTTTCTCAGCACCATATTGCATTTACTCTAAAATTGACCACATTGTTGGAAGCAAATCACTCCTCAGCAAATGCAAAAGAACAGAAATCATAACAAACAGTCTATTAGACCACAGCACAATCAGACTAGAACTCAGGATCAAGAAACACACTCAAACCCGCACAACCACTTGGAAACTGAACAACTTGCTTCTGAGTGTCTACTGGATAAACAATGAAACGAAGGCAGAAATAAAGATGTTCTTCGAAACCAACCAGAATGAAGACACAACTTACCAGAATCTCTGGGACACCTTTAAAGCAGTGTCGAGAGGGAAATTTATAGCAATACCCACCAGAGAAGGGAGGAAAGATCTAAAATCAACACCCTATCGTCAAAATTGAAAGAACTAGAGGAGCAAGATCAAAAAAACTCAAAATCTAGCAGAAGACAAGAAATAACTAAGATCAGAGCAGAACTGAAGGAGATAGAGACACAAAAAACCCTTCAAAAAATCAATAAATCCAGGAGCTAGTTTTTGTAAAAGATCAACAAAATAGACCACTAGCCAGATTAATAAAGAAGAAAAAGGAGAAGAATCAAATAGATGCAATGAAAAATGATCAAGGGGATCACCGCTGACCCCACAAAAATACAAACTACTGTCAGAGATTACTACAAACAGCTCTACTCACATAAAACAGTAAACCAGGAAGAAATGGATAAATTCCTATGCACTTGTACTCTACTAAGACTAAACCAGGAGGAAGTTGAAACCCTGAATAGATCAATAACAAGGGCTGAAGTAGAGACAGCAATCAATAGCCTACCAACCAAAAAAAGTCCAGGTCCAGATGGGTTCACACCTGAATTCTATCAGACACGCAAAGAGGAGCTGGTTCCGTTCCTTCTGAAACTGTATCAAACGATACAAAAGGAGGGAATCATCCCTAACTCATTTTATGAGACCAACATCATCCTGATACCAAAACCAGGCAGAGACTCAACTAAAAAAGAAATCTTCAGGCCAATATCCATGATGAACATCGACGCAAAAATCTTCAATAAAATACTGGCAAACAGATTGCAACAGCACATCAAGAAGCTTATCCATCATGACCAAGTAGGCTTCATCCTGGGGATGCAAGGCTGGTTCAACATATGCAAATCCATAAATGTAATCTATCACATAAATGGAACCAAAGACAAAAATCACATGATTATCTCAAGAGATGCAGAGAAGGCCTTCTATAAAGTTGAATAGCCCTTCATGCTAAAAACTCTCAATAAACTAGGTATTGATGGAATGTATCATAAAATGATAAAAGCTATATATGACAGACTTACAGCCAATATCATACTGAATGGGCAAAAACTGGAAGAATTCCCTTTGAAATCAGGCACTAGACAAGGATGCCCTCTCTCACCACCCCCACTCCTATTCAACATAGTATTGGAATTTCTAGCCAAAGCAATCAGGCAAGAAAAAGAAATAAAGGGTATTCAATTAGGAAAGGAGGAAATCAAACTGTCTCTGTTTGCAGATGACATGATTGTATATTTAGAAGACCCCATCATCTCAGCCCAAAATCTTCTCAAACTGATGAGCAACTTCGGCAAAGTCTCAGGATACAAAATCAATGTGCAGAAATCACAAGAATTCCTATATACCAATAACAGATAGAGAGCCAAATCAAGAGCAAACTACCATTCACAATTGCTACAAAGAGAATAAAATACCTAGGAATACAACTAACAAAAGATGTAAAAGGACCTCTTCAAGGAGAAATACAAGCCACTGCTCAATAAAATAAGAGAGGGCACAAACAGATGGAGAAACAGTTCATGCTTATAGTTAGGAAGAATCATATCATGAAAATGGCCATATTGCCCAAAGTCATCTATAGATTCAACACTATCCCCATCAAGCTACCAATGACCTCCTTCACAGAATTGGAAAAAACCATTTTAAACTTCATATGAAATCACAAAAGACCCTGCATAGCCAAGACAATCCTAACCAAAAAAAAAACAAAGCCAGAGGCATCACACTGCTGGACTTCAAACTATACTACAAGGCTACAGTAATCAAAACAGCATGGTACTGGTATCAAAACAGAGACATAGACCAATGGAACAGAACAGAGACCCCAGAAGAAACACCACACATCTACAACCATCTGATCTTTGACAAACCCGGCAAAAACCAACAATGGGGAAAGGACTCCAGGTTTAATAAATGGTGTTGGGAAAACTGGCTAGCAATGTGCAGAAAGCAGAAACTGGACCTCTACCTCTCACCTTACACTAAAATTAACCCCAGATGGATCAAAGATTTAAACATAAAACCTAACACCATAAAAACACTAGAAGACAACGTAGGCAAAACCATCCAGGACATAGGCATAGGCAAGGACTTCATGACTAAAACACCAAAAGCAATGGCAACAAAAGCCACGATAGACAAATGGGACTTAATTCAACTCCAGAGCTTCTGTACAGCAAAAGAAACCATGATTAGAGTGAATTGACAACCAACAGAATGAGAAAAAAATTTTGCAATCTACCCATCTGACAAAGGGCTAATATCCAGAATCTACAAAGAACTAAAACAGATTTACAAGAAAAAAACAAACAACCCCATTCAAAAGTGGGTGAAGGATATGAACAGACATGTTTCAAAAGAAGGCATATATGAAGCCAACAAACATATGAAAAAATGCTCATCGTCACTGGTCAATAGAGAAATGCAAATCAAAACCACACTGAGATACCATCTCACGCCAGTTAGAATGGCGATCATTAAAAAATCTGGAGCCAACAGATGCTGGAGAGAATGTGGAGAAATAGGAACACTCTTACACAGTGTGGCGATTTCTCAAGGATCTAGAAATAGAAATTCCATTGGACCAAGCAATCCCATTACTGGGTATATACCCAAAGAACTGTAAATCATTCTGCTATAAAGACACATGAACACATATGTTCATTGCAGCCCTGTGTACAATAGCAATGACCTGGAATCACCCCAAATGCCCATCAGTGATAGATTGGACAAAGAAAATGTGGTACATATACATGATGGAATACTACACAGCCATAAAAACTATGAGTTCTTGTCCTTTGTAGGGACTTGGATGAATCTGGAAACCATCATTCTCAGCAAAATGACACAAGAACAGAAAATCAAACACTGCATGTTCTCACTCATAGGTGGCTGTTGAACAATGAGAACATGTGGACTCAGGGATAGAAGCATCACACACTGGGGGCATTTGGGAGGTGGGGTAGGGGAGAGACAGCGGGGGGTGGGGAGGGAGGGGAGGATAACATGGAGAGAAATGCCATATATAGTATGCACCAAAAGTAAAATAAATAAGTTAAAAAAAAAAGAAAAGATGAGTTAAAATTAGGTAATTTGAAAAACGGAGGGCAAGCAACGGGGAAGATGTTCAGTGGTTGAGGGACCAGCAGAAGTGTGGAGTGGAGTGGTAGCAGGAACCTTGCTTTGCAAAGAACTTAAGACCTTTGGATTGACTACGGCATAAAATTAGATTGATTAGAGTTAATAGTAGAGGAAGAAGGTAAAATCAATAAAGGTTTAGAAAATTAAAAATCAACAAAACCTGACGGCAGTTGGTAGGGTGTGATATAAAGGATGAAATGATGGCAACTCCTAGTTCTCTGGCTCAGACATTATCCAGAAGGTAGCATTGTTTGAATGAGAAAAAGATGCATTTTCTCCTGGGATGATGCAGCCCTGTGGCAGATGAACCATGGGTGTAGAGCCCACGGTGGGGTTCAGCCTCCACTTGCCCCTTGGCTTGGTACTCTTGGGTGGTGCACAGTTTGAAGAACTGTAAGAGGAAGCTCTGGGAAAATGGGTGGTCAGTAATCAGTGCAAATAGGAGGAGAGCCTAGAATGGGGAGGCAGTGTGGAGGGAGATGGGCTCAGTTGCAAATATGTTACATTTGCAGTATCTGGAGTGTCATTGTTCGGTGGAAATATCAATGAGGAAGTTGGATATATCATCCTAACACCCAGTGGACTATAGCTGATTTAGGTTAATTAAACGTTTTAAAAATTATATTTCAATTTTTAAAATGATTTCAAAGTGAATGCCTTTTGAATTATAGCTCCAGTGGAACTCGTTTGATGTTGGTAGCTGGTTCTCCAAAACAGCTGAGCTGCTCTATTAAAAAAAAAAAAAAAAAAAAAAAATACTCATTTCAAATAACTTTTCAAAGAATGTCTACTATTGTTTATTAATATACAGAAGAATGGTCATGTTGTATTGGATTGCTGAAATTTTTTATTTTCTGTTTCAGATTGCTGTGCTATGCCTTGTATGACTAAGACCTCTTACCAAGAATACCTGTCAGACCATGTGAGTATAAAAGCTGTGTAGGCCAGCGCTTTGGGAGGCCGAGGCGGGTGGATCACGAGGTCAAGAGATCGAGACCATCCTGGTCAACATGGTGAAACCCCGTCTCTACTAAAAATACAAAAAATCAGCTGGGCATGGTGGCGCGTGTCTGTAATCCCAGCTACTCAGGAGGCTGAGACAGGAGAATTGCCTGAACCCAGGAGACGGAGGTTGCGGTGAGCCGAGATCGCGCCATTGCACTCCAGCCTGGGCAACAAGAGCGAAACTCCGTCTCAAAAAAAAAAAAAAAAGCTGTGTAGGCAGATTGCAGTGAATCCTAATTGGTTAGGTCAGCTAAGCAAAAAAGCAAACATTTTATCCCAGATAAGACCAAAAGCAATAATATCTATTTTCCCTGTGGTAAAAATTCTAGATGAGGTAGAAAACACATTTCTCTCCCCCTTGTCTCATTATTATATTAAGGGCTATAAACCCAATTGCAAAAGTTTCGTCAACTTGTTATCAGGTTTTTTTTTTTTAATAGCAATCAATTATAAGAAGTATCATTGAAAGCATTTTCTTGTTTTCTTCTGTAATTCTGAAGGGATCACACCCCCATCCCCAACTTATTATGTGACCCTGTTTTACAGAAAACCACTACCAAGGAGTGCAGAGGTGGCAATGAAACAGCCCAACAAGAAAAGGAAGCTTAGTATGGATTCCAAAGAGCGTTTGGATCAGGACGGACGCTTGGTAAGATGTCAGTCCCTGGACTTTTCCTCACAGTGTGTGCGCTACCAAAATGCACCATGGAATAGTACAGTTCACATGACCACACTGAGGGACTTTTTAGTCACTTGAAACAATGTGGCTTTTGCTTGAGTTTTACGTATAGTGGTATAGAATATAAGTGTTAAAGTCTGATACATTTTAAAAGGCAATCTTACTTTTGAAGGTGACGGAGACCTTTTCTTTTACAAAGATGGAGGTAACTAGCCATTCTCAAGTAAGAGAATGGAGGCTCTGAACTGCAGGGGGTTGTATTAGGATTCTCCAGAGAAACAGGACCCCCTAGAATGAGTGTATGTGTATATGTATGTGATATTTTCTTGTGTTTGTGTACACACACTCAGAGTGTGAGAGAGCTAGCAAGTGAGAAACAGTGAGAGACTTATCTTAAAAAGAGGAATTGATTGAGGCACGTCGTGGAGGCTGACACGTCTGAAATCTGCAGGGCGGCCTGGCAGGCTGGAGGCCCCCGGAAGAGTTGGTGCTGCAGTCCTGAGTCCCAGGTCAGTCTACAGGCAGAATTCCTACTTCCTTGGGGGACCTGTTTTTTTCTCTTAAGTCCTTCAACTGAATGAACGAGACCCACCCGCATGATGGAGAGTGATCTGCTTTATTTGAAGCCTGCTGATTTGAATGTTAATCGTATCTAGAAACATACCTTCACAGCACCATCTAGACACTTAGAAGGTATAATGTTCATTGTGCCTTTAATCACCTTGCCTGTTGTGTTTCCTTATGACAGCTTTATATATGCCTGCAAATTTAAAAGTTAGCAGAATGACCAGAAGACCTCCATAATGACTATTTTTGGGGATGGTGGGCCATTACAGCATTCTCATCTGTGACCCTTCATTGGCTTTTAGCATTTATTTGGATTTGGATTTGGGGGTATTTACGGGGTTTGTGGGTATACATTCACACACAGTTGCTGAAGTGACGTAATATAATACATTTTCTTTTGGTTCAGTTTCAAGTTAGGTGTGGTTCGATGAACTCCAGATATTAAATGAAACATCTCAAGGAACGATCTGGTTTGAGGTTCATTTCAAGGTGTTTAGAAAAGGCCTATGTCAAGCCCTAGAGCCATTCATTCCCTAGGGATTAGCCTCACTGGGCAGCGAGGTGATTAACATGGGGCCAGGGGCCAGTTCCTGGGTCCAGATTGGTTGCCTCTCTTAGGTCAGTTCCAGGAGAGTTTAGAGCTCTAAATGTATAAGAGAAGAACTTGGTATTTAAGAGGTGTCTTAGACTAGACTTGGGCAGGCCTACATCTGTCTTGGCGTAAGTGAAGATGCCATTCTTCTTAGTGTTCTGCTGTGTCATGTCCTCTGAGGAATCAGAGCATGAGGAGATTCAGGATTTGATGTGTTCAGAGTTATTCTGGGTACTTCTCCACATGTGGTCCCTGGACCAGCAGCATCAGCATCACCTGGAGGTTTGGTAGAAATGCAGATTCCTTGGACCCAGTTCAGACGTTCTAAATCAGCCACTCTGGGGGTGGGGCCCAGCAATCTGTGTTTTAATGATCCAGGTGATTCTGATGCCCACTCATGTTTGAGAAGCATTGCCCTAGGGAAATGGCTAGATGAATCTTACCTGCTAATCATGTTACAGTTAATCAATATTTTTCTTAAATTTTGTGTTTAACATTTGAGATCATCTTCCCCCATCCAAACGTATTTTATATTACTTATCAGTATCATTTCTCTTTAAGCTGCTGAGATTGTTACTACCCTCTCTTAGTACTCGATTATCTTGCTCTACCATCTGAGTTTTTAACCCTTTGCCTCTTCTGCATTAGCACAAATCCCAATTTTCTCTTAAAGACCAACTCAGTTTCTAACTTAATCCTGATGTGTTTACCGTTATTTCTACCCATATTGAGATTTTCCCTTTATTGGACTCCAGAAGTGCTTAACATTTAGATATGCTTTTAGTGCAGGTCCTGCATAGATTTTCAAAAATATCTGTTAAATGCTGTTCCTGGTGCTTAATGACATCTCCAGGCAAGTGAATTTTTTCAATCAGTAGTAACAAAATAATATTTTAAAGGGCCATATTCTTAGTTTATGTTTTGAGATGTTTGGGACATATTATTTTAAAGAATATTCACATAGAATTGAAATTTAGTCCGTGTTGCACTGTGACTTTGGGGCTCATTGCCAGTTGCAGTGTTCATTTTTATTAGTCAGATTTAACAGTTTAATACAGTAGGCTGTATTCACACCTGGGGCAGCATTCACTGTGGAAAGAAGTGTTGAGTCATGCTTGAATTTTGCCAGATTTCTTGAAGTATTGGTAACATCCTTTATTTTGTGTGTTATTCTTCTGGTTTACAAGTGACATTTTTAATCACCTAAGTAACATCCCATTGGCAGATCAAGCACATAAAACATCGAGCAAATGCACAGGTGGGTGTTTCTGAACATTTTCTTCTGAGAAAATTTCATATCTTGGATATCTAATAATTTTAGATGATAATATCTGTCAATGAATGTCTTTCTAGACTAATATTGTCTATGTATTTCTATGTGGAGCTTAAAAATATTTTGTTGTGCTTTTCAGAACATAGGGATATGGTTAAAAAATCAAATAGTACAGATAGGCAGTAAAGTAAGAATTAAATTCTCTACTGTCTACCCTCACCCATATACTAAACCCCAAAATATTTTCTTGATCATGTGACCACTGTTTACAGTTTCTCATATGTCTGCATAGGAAATAAACAAAAAAATGAAAGCTGAAAATTCCTAGACCTTTTATGCACATATACACATATATACACACATCCCAATGGGCTCGCATTCTGCTTGTTGTTCTGTACTTTGCTTTTTTTTGCACTTAATTATGTATGTCTTAGAGATACAGGTCTTATTCTTTTCAGTGCTACATAGTGTTTCATTTTATGAATGTACCATAATTTATTTAAATAGTGCCCTACTGTAAACATTTAGATTATTTCAATTTTTATGGTTATATACCATGTTATATCTAATGTTCTTATTCATATATCCTTTTTATATGAGAATACTTTTGCAGTTCATTCATAGGTAATATCATAGCAGTGAAATTATTGTACAAAAGGGTACGCTTGTTTGAAATTTTGATAAACTACTCAATGTCATCCTCCAAAGAGATCACCCCAGTTTATCCTCTCCCTAACAGTATCTGAGAGAGTGCCTCTTTTCCTTGGGTTTTATTATATTTTTTACATCTTTGTTTCTACCACATGGGTAAACCTCTGGTTATGTTCTTGTACCCCCGTAGACTCTTCAAGTTTTCTGTGGTTTTTTTTTTAAACTCCTTAAGGTATTTTGTCTTTTCACAACTTTCAACACAAAGATAAGTGTCATTTTGGGTGCCCTTTGCTAGCTTTATCTGCTCAGCAACTTTAGAATTGACTAGTGAAGTGTAGGCACGTGGTGACTGGGAAAATGAAGTATTTTTTTCCAAGGTGATTTCATTGATGTCTAGTGTGTATGTGAGTGTTCTGGGCACAAAACCCTAAAATAATATACAGCCTATGAAATTTAAAATTTCCTATATAAAAATGCAAGTTTCACAAATGAAAAAGAAAATTTTATTTGACTATATAAGAATAAAATATATGACCTCTGTGTCATATATTTTATTTGCATATAATCAAATAAAATATAAAAATATTGTATATAGTCAATTATAAAATAAAAAAGTCAAATATATAAAAAATATTGTATATAGTCAAATAAAATATAAAAATATAAAAAATATTTTATATTTTATTTGACTATATACAATATTTGATACTGAAAAAGTATTAATTCCCATTCTCCCTCTTCCTGTGAACCTCTTAAAATTAATGGATCTTTATCTAAATAGGGAGTTGTGAACTTTGAGAGATAGAAATATAAGACATTTTTCATTCTCAAAAGAATCTTAGAGTATTGCTGAATAAAGGAAAACTAGCTTCTGTAGAGTAATGGAGAACAACTAAGTGCATATGTAGCACATTAGTGCTCTAAGGTATGGTCACCTTTCAGAGAAAGGTAGACTAATCGGGAGCTTGATTCTGAACTTTGAAGGATGAAGAGTATCTTAAGATACTCATACTGAATGTATTATTATTCTGCTGTAACAAAGAGATTTTAAATCCAATATGGTAAATCTAATCTGAGAGAATATAACTTTTAATGTATGAACGTCTAGGTGCTCTCTAACCTTGAAAGGTAAGAAAATTGAGGGGTCAGAGTGGGAATTATCTGGGCCCCTTAAGGAGGCAGCATGAGCGGAGGTATGGGGTTGGAAGAGAACGTGACGTGTGTGATATATGGCAGGACCATAATGATTTATCTGACTAGAGCAGATATTGCTATTGGCAGTGTAGTAGGTGAGCATTGGATGGGGTTGGGCCATGGGTCAGGAGATTCAGATTTTAGTCTTTGACTGTGCTGCTCATTAGCTGTGTGGCCAAGGACAGTCCCTTCACTGGGCTGGACTCAGCTTCTCTATCTATAGAACAACAGTCTTAGATTGGAAGATCTTTATGGGTCTTTCCATTTCACTAAGTATAAGGTTTGGTGCACAATTAGATTGCAGGGTGACTGGGGTAGATCTGGGTAGTCACACTTGGTGAGGCTTGATGGCCAAGTAGAGGAAGTTGTACTTGAGGTGGTGGTCACTGGCCTTGAAATAAATGACATCAGGGACCATGGCTGACCTCAACTTTTGCAGAGGGTAATGCAATCTTTCTGTAACATCCTTAAATAGATACTGAGAAAATGTTTGGGGTAAGTTTATTTTGGTTTCTATTTTTAAGTAATAGTTAATTCTTTAACATGCTGTTGCCTCATACAAGACTGATGTCAGTTTGCAACAGCCAGTAAAATTCATTTACAGATGGTAAAAACCATAAGAAGGTGGTGTTATAAGGCTATGTTAGATTTTTCACTTTTTGTTTTTTGTATATGGCTTAGCAAACATTTTAAAGAGATTTCATTTGGAGACTGTAGCTATATTATCAAGTGTTTGAACAAAATGGAAGCATTTCATTCTCCCTGAGTGTGTCTGAATTCCAGTAGAGCAGTGGAGAAAAGTCCCACAAATTTCTGTATTTTTATCCAAAAGGTGAATTTTATTTATCTTCAGTTTATATCCCACATTGGATCAAAGCAAAAAAGAAGTTGAAAAGTGGACTTGAACCAGCAGGTGAAATTCAAATAGCAGTTTGTCACTGGGGTTATTATATAGGATTTCACTGTTTTCTACAATTTATGAAACCAATGTGTGTCACCCTCTGGGGCGCAGATAGCAGGTTCTTATGGAACAAGAACAGCAGGGTTCTCAGAAATCCTTGAGTGCTCAGAAGTCTTTGGTCTGACAGCGAAGGAGAGTAAAGGGGCATTATCTGGCAGTTCCAAGGTGACCAATCAAAATTGCCAAGCACGAATCAGCAGTTGAAAATCCTTCGTTTTGTTCCCTTGATTGGAGCTCATAGACAGAGAAATGTAGACCGTGATTAATTAGAAAACATCACTGTGTCTTGTAGTAAAAGCATATGATGTGTCCAGTGCCAGCAGTAGGGAGCAGAACATTAGGTCTTTTTGGCTATTTTCCTACTTCGTAATCCTCTCTTCCAAAATGATGGATTTTAAACTGGTTCGTGGAAATTTACCATAGCAAAGACTTATTTTTTGTTCCTCAAACCATTAGCTCCCTTTTTTTCAGAACACCATTTTTTTCTGGAACTTTATTTTCAGTTTTCAGAATTAGAGTTCGAAACCTGAGAAACTGCAGTAATGGTTTATTTTTTGCAATTTGTGTTGATTTGGCGTTCTGTCTGGAAGGATAAGATCAAGGGCTCATTTTTTCTTCTGTTTTTTTTTTTTTTAAAAATTCCTTCTCTGTTTATTAATAGTAGTGTAGCTTTATTAACTTTATGAAATAATGAATTAGCTTAGAAGCAAAGAATGTTAAAGCTAGCAGGAACTTTGGAAGAAATTTAGTCTGATTTCTTTATTTTAATAGATGAGAACAATCAGGACTAGAGAATGTAGATCATTTGTTTGAAGTTAAATAGCTCTTAGTGGTGGGGTTGAGATTTGACCTTGGATCACCTAGCCCTAAATTCAGCATATTCTCTTCTCTGTCATATGATACTAAATACTTTTCCATTTGCAAAATTGTTTAAAAATGAGGTCACTATGTCATAGATACATATGTTTATTCTGATATACACAATATAATCTTTTGTGTGTATATGTGTGTGTTTACCTATCTATAACCTTGATCTACCAAAAGAACATAGAGACGTTGGAAGCTTGGGAAATTTAAATCCAAAGTGAGAGGTAGTGTTGTTTTTGTGTGGAATGTCTTTTTCTTTCTAGGCAGAATTTCAATAGCAAATAAAGAAGTGTGAACCAAACACTTACTGAGTGACAGATAGCATATTATATATTTCTTTTTATTTTTGAATGATACAGTGATTATAAAAATGCTTCAGTAGCTGTAGTATGAACATAATCATCCTCAAATGCTGTTTCTTTTTACTGTTTCAGGTTTCGTAGTAGAAGAGAGTCTCTGTTTTGAATTACATATGTAAATTTCCTATGTATTGAGTGAATGAACAGGGGTGGAACTGGGGTAAAGTGCTGCCATGGAAAATTAGACCCAAAGCAGGAGTTCATCATCTCACTTGCAGTAGAACAGGGTAGATATGATTACATTACTGTTCCCGTTCCCACTGCATGCCCTGGCAAAAGTTGGTAGCCTTGCCACTTACAGTGAGGGCTGTGTACTTTTGGCCATAGCGTCTGCTGGGAGTTTGTTGGAATCTGTACTCTAAGGCCCTACCCTAGACCCACTGAGTCAAGATCTGCATTTTAGTAAGATTCCCAGATGATTCAAATGCATGTTAAAGTGTGGGAAGCACTGGCTTATAGAACATCTTAGCAGAATGATACTTTGTTGATTTCACAAAGATATCCATGATAACTTTGGATATGAAATCTACCAGGCAGAAAAATACTCTTCTTGAACCTTTCATTCTTACCTTCATTCATCAAATATTTGTTGACCTAGACTAGGTTGCCAGGCTATGTTTTGGGGATGAAAGATAATTAAAACACTGATACAATTTGTTACTGTACAAATGGTCTCTTATACCTTAAAGACATAGACTTAAAAAGGGAACTAAAAAAATGGGAGGAAAATGAAATTAATAGTATTTATTTCATCAGTTCAAAACTGGTTTGCTTTCATTAAAATATTAGTATTTATGATTCTTTTTCAAAAACCTGGTTTTGTGATGCCATTTTGTGCAGTCTGTTTTTTAGATTTGGTTTTTATTGTTGTCAGAAGCCAGGGTGACCAAGCCTTCTCACTTTCCTGGGACTAAGGGGTTTCCCCAAATGTGGGGCTTTTCGAAGTGCTATGAACAGGTTAACCCCATGCAGACTGGGACGGACAGCCACACTAGCCACAACTTAAAAAGATCTATCCCAAAGCTGTATAAGAATAAATTGAAGAAATAATTGTTCGTTGAATTTACTAAATCATGATACTCATTTTTCAGCAAAAGTTTTTGTGTAAATCAGCTGCTAAATTTTCACATTCTCTGATGATAATTAGTTGTTATTGGAAAGTAATGAAAACTATTGCATATTGGCTGGGCATGGTGGCTCATGCCTATAATCCCAACAGTTTGTGAGGCTGAGGTGGGCAGATCACTTGAGGTCAGGAGTTTGAGACCAGCCTGGCCAACATAGCGAAACCCTTCTCTACTAAAAATACAAAAATTAGCTGATGTGGTGGTGTGTGCCTATAATCCCAGCTGGAGGCTGAGGCAGAAGAATCACTTGAACCTGGGAGGTGGAGGTTTCAGTGAGCCGAGATTGTGCCAATGCACTACAGCCTGGGTGACAGAGTGAGACTCTGTCTCAAAAAAAAAAACAAAAACAACCCCCCCCCAAAACAATTTTATATTTATGTTTCCAAAAGTAAGTTCAAAGCCTGCTTGAAACCCTTTGTTTAAAAGATTTTAAAATTGGGAAATTTTGTTCCCAATTTCTAAGTGTATATTGTGAATTGTTAATAGATGGAAAACATTGTTGATGGCTACAAAGTGATGTAAATAAGACACATACCTGGATACCCACTTTCAAAATGCTCTTTGCCATTGTATCTTTCAAAAAAGAAAGCTAGTTTCCTAGTCTTTGTTGAATGGCAAACGTTCCTTCAAAAGTTGCAGGAAGAGTGTGCCTTGCTTGCCCCATGGGGAGAGGCTGCACCATCTTGCTTATTGCATGTGCTTGTATTGTTCATCATATGCAATTTATGGTTTCTTTGCAAGAATCTTTGAAGTTACTTGTCCATTCTATGAAGATCAATTTGGTTAAAATTAAAGTCATTTTGGTCGGGCGTGGTGGCTCACACCTGTAATCCCAGCACTTTGGGAGGCTGAGGTAGGTGGATCACAAGGTCAGGAGTTCAAAACCAGCCTGACCAACATGGTGAAACCCCATCTCTACTAAAAACTACAAAAATTAGCCGAGCACCGTGGCAGATTCCTGTAATCCCAGCTACTGGGGAGGCTGAGGCAAGAGAATTGCTTGAACTGGGGCAGCAGAGGTTTCAGTGAGCCACTGCACTCCAGCCTGGGTGGCAGTGAGATGCCATCTCAAAAAAAAAAAATTAAAGTTATTTAAACTGAGCACTTACAAACTGTAGTAGACCCAGATAGGCTTAAAATAAAAGTAGGATGGAAGGCTTGGCTTCAGTGTAGACCAAGCCTCTTCTATAAGCCACTCCTATGGAACTGGCAGGCCCAGGGATGCAGTCGGGGAAGGTACCTGTGTCAACCTCAATATTAACTGTTATCGAAGCTTCCGCTCTCTTATATTTTAGTCAAAAGCAAGACTTTTAATCTTCCACGTCCAAATGGACCATGTGTATCCCTCTTGGGCACCCACTGGAAGGCTCTGGGTACTGTGTGCATTGTCCCCCTCAGTGACAAGGATCTTCACGACTTTCCTTCCTACAAAAAAGAAACATTAGTTTTCATTGTTTCCAACAATTATCCAGAAATACAGTCTAAGCCCTATTTTCTGTTTTCTAGGAGCAAGCTGAAGAAGAAAAGAAGCCCAAGGATGGCACAACCCCTTTGAGTCATGGTAATTATCACCAGTACATACAGTGTTAGTTCACAGTGAACAACTTCTAAGTGAACTTTTATGAGATTGCTTAGTTGTTTTAGGTTCATTAATTTAAATATATAATAATAGTATCTATGATTTATTCAGGCTATTGCATACCCTTCTGTAGACTTTATCAGTGTCATCTAAGGTTTTCAAATATATACTTCAAAAACATCTAAAGCTCTTGTTATCTCATTTATTTGCTTTTTTAAAAGGCTTTAAATAAAACAACTTATTTGTAAATTTTCTCTGTGAGCAAGAAAATAAAGAGATGCTATTTAGTTTTTTAATAATCCTTTGTGTGAGCTTTCCCCAGATTGATTATATCTTCTAATGATTGCATTGTATTAAAGTCGTGTTTTAGAGGAGATTGTGCATTTGCTCTAAAATGAATATTCCTCATGATGGTTATTAATACATCAATAGGTTTTAGATAATAGCCTTTTAGTATTCAACTAATTCTCTAATGCTTTAAATTTAAACCAACAGATGAAGATGCAATTTCCTGGGAATATACATTCCACATATTTTGTGATTATTGCTATACACGCAGACAGCTGTTACTAAATTTTCTATCAAATCTCCAACATTTGTGCTATTCTCTATGGAAAGGAAGCATATATAAATTTGATAATGCTCCTCTAATTAATCTTTAAAGTACCTTATATTTGTTGAGTAAGCTTTTGTGTTTGACTTTAAATAATGGAAACACCTAAAAATATCTTGAATAAAATGACAAGAATGGAGATTTTTAAGGACCATTTTATATGGCTTAGTCTTGGGATGCAGTATTGAGAAATTGTGATTTTTCTTCCTAAATGATTTTAAAAATAAAAGTTATCGTTTATTTTAAACAAATGGGTGCTGCTTTATATTTCTTTTCTTCTCTTGCTGCCTCCCCAGACCTGTCATGTTCTTTGCTGAAAAATCAAAACAGAATGCAGTAGTTTGATAATTATGTAACTTGGTGTTCGGCTCCATCAAAATATACTTCAATTATGTAACACTGGGATCTTAGAAATGAATTTGGACTGTACCTGGCCCTAACAGTAGGGGTTTTTTAAAACAATTTTTTTCTTCTCAGAGAGAGGTTGTGATTTATGACATTGTTGTGTCTCCCCTGCAGCTATATTTTCACACTAATGTAAATTGTTCTGGGTTCTCTTATTCTGTGGTCGAAACATTTCCTCTAGAAAAAGAAAAGCAGACTGAGGCCAACAACGCAAAAATATTCAGTCCCTCAAACTCAGATTCTTTACTGATTTAGTATTTACAGTTTCATTATATCCAGGTACGTATTTATCTCAAATAGCTTTTCAGTTTTACTTGATTTTTCTTGTTTTCAACAAGTCCGGGAAGGTCCAGTTGGAAGCTTTTCAGTTTTAACAGAAAGTAACTTTTTGCTGTGTTCTTTCATTGTTAGACTTGTTTTATAGATAATGGTCCATTGTCAAAAGTTCACGCTGTGACTGACTCCTCTTCAAATTTGATATTGTATTGTTCCTGTTTTTCCCAGTTGTAGAACACAATAAATGTTTAGAAAAATGTTGAGATTTGGTTTGTGTATGTAGATGCTATGAACTGCTAGTTGTAATGCAAGTGGAATTATTTGAGGGCTCTTTGAGGTAATTCATATTTTTACCACTTTTAGTGGGACAAAGGAAATAATTTACAAATTGCTTATCGTCCTAGCATTATAATGGGGATTTTTCTCCATGAAAATGGTTTAATCTTTTATTGAGGTTGCTTTTAAAACAAAATAGATTTAGTGTCTTACCTCATGTCTTGGAAATAGTAACAAAAGAAAAATACTAAACAAAAACCCCGCAGAACTGTGTATGTACATATAATATATTTATATGTGAACAGAAAATTGTATTGAAAAATAGGTCAGGCATAGTGGCTCATGCCTGTAACCTTAGCAATTTGGGAGGCCAAGGCAGATGGATCTAAAGCTCAGGAGTTCATGACCAGCCTGGGCAACATGGTGAAACCCAATTTCAACCAAAAATACAAAAAAAAAAAAATTAGCTGGGTCTGGGGGTGCATGCCTGTAGTCCCAGCTACTTGTGGGGCTCGGGCAGGAGGATGGGTTGAAGGAGAAGGTCGAGGCTGCAGTGAGCTAAGATCTGTTGTCACTGTAACTCAAGCCCGGGGTATGAAGTGAGACCCTGTATCCAAAAAAATAATTATTTTGCAAAATAAACCTTAATTTTTAGTGGTGATTTTATAACAAATGTGTTTATTTGGAAATCATTTTAAACCATTTTATTGAGTGCCCAGTCTGTGCAACTGATACTGAAGCCCGTATTACAGCTGCAAAGCTTTAAGAGGCCGTTTGACTTACTTGAGGTAAACTGAACTGGTTAGTGCTGGATCCAGAATTTGAACCCACATCTAGCAAGTTCTAAAGTCTGTGCTCTTTTTACTTTACCTCCATGTTCTTTCTATGTCAACATTCTTCTTTCTTTGTAGCTATTCACACAAAGGCAGAGAAAAGTAGAATCTTGCTTAGAAATGGAATGGGAAAAAAAATAACTGCTAATAATTAAAGTATTAATGGTGTCTACTACACCCCTCTGTGCTCTTGGGGACTGACTGAATGAGATTTTCCCTGACATAGCCATGCTGAGATTAAGTTTTTGATTCTTTTGGAAACTCTCTGAGATAAACTGCTCATAGTAATTCTAAAAATTTAACTCAGATAGCTCTAAGAGAAGGCTTGTTTCAGTAAGTATTACTCGTTAATGTTGTGTGTGATTAAAGTTTTAGAATTAGTATTGCCAATCACTGTGTAATCCCAGACCTATATGCCTTTACATTTGAATTTCTAAAGTAAAAATAACTGATTTATTCAGTTGAACAAGTTATCTGGCATCTGTCCTTCTAAATGTTTAAGTGCTCTTTTTAACTGATACACCATTCATATTTGTTTGGTTGAATGTTGGGGCAATGAGGATTTTTTTTTTTTTTTTGAGACAGTTTCCCTCTTGTTGCTGAGTCTGGAGTGTGATCTCAGTTCACTGCAACCTCCACCTCCCAGGTTCAAGTCTCCTGGCTCAGCCTCCTGAGTAGCTGGGATTACATGCATCTGCCACCAGGCCCAGCTAATTTTTTTGTATTTTTAGTAGAAATGGGGTTTCCCCATATTGGCCAGGCTGGTCCTGAACTCCTGACCTCAAGTGATCCACCCGCCTCGGCCTTCCAAAATGCTGGGATTACAGGCATAAACCACTGCACCCAACCCTGACAGTGAACATTTTATACACATAAAAGGAATATAAGAAGTTGTAAAAGACAATTAGATGTATTCATATCTAAATTAAACTCTGTGCATTAAAGAACATCATAATAAACAAGGGAAACAACAAACTAGCAAATATTATCCACAAATGTAGCTAATAAAAGGTCAGCAATAGATAAAGGAATTAGAGAAAAAAATCAGCTATCCTAAGATCTCAGTCCAAAAACAGGCAAAGGGCACAAACAGGTAATTCAGATAAAAAGAAATCAAAATGGCTAAAAATGAATATATTAAAAATATTTAGTCTTGTTAGAATGCAAATAAATATAAATTTAAAAGTAGTGATGATATTTTTAAATTTACCAAATTAAGGACAATTTAAAAAAAACTGCTAACACTCTCTGCTGGTAGGATGGGGAAGACTGAGTCTTGGCATATTGCTGCTAGGAGTAGAATTTGGTTCTGCAGAAGTGCTGAGTAAACATTTCCTTCAGCTGGGCGCGGTGGCCCATGCCTATAATCCCAGCACTTTGTGAGGCCGAGGCAGGCGGATCATGAGGTCAGGAGATCGAGACCATCCTGGCCAACATGGTGAAACCCCGTCTCAACTAAAAAATACAAAAAATTAGCTGGCCGTGGTGGCGCACGCCTGTAGTCCCAGCTACTTGGGAGGCTAAGGCAGGAGAATTGCTTGAATCTGGGAGGCAGAGGTTGCAGTGAGCCGAGATTGCGCCACTACACTGGCACCTGGCAACAGAGCGAGACTGAAAAAAAAAACAAAACATTTCCTTCAAGTCTACTTTTTGACATTTCTCCTAATGACATCAGCATGTACATTCCATTTATGCATATGATAGTCATTGTGGTACTATTTGTAAATAATTAAAAGTTGAAAACATTAATAATCTAAATGTCCAACAACTTAGGAACAGGTGAAACATTGTGTGTAGACAAGTATGTAGTCACTTAAATGTTTTGAAGACATTTAAATTACATGAGAGGAAAAGCTTATGTTAAAATATTAAGGGGAAGAGACCCCCAGGGATTGGTCTGAATGATGGCTAAAAAGAATTCACTTATCTGTAGAATAAGAAAAGATGTTAACAATGATTATCTCTAAATTGGTAGATAAAAGGCATATTTTCTATGTTCTCCAATTATTTATTACAATTAGTATTTAACTATGTTACAATCAGACAAATATTATTAAAAAATAAATTCAGAAACTCCTGAACAAAAAACTTTAATCTGTAGAATCAGGGTATTGTTGAAATATCTGTTCTTAGAGTTTTCTAAGTAAACTTTTATTTTTGGAAAAATTTAGGATTACAGACAAGTTGCAAAGATAGTGCAGAAATAGTACTGTGTACCCTTCACCCAGTTTCTCCTAACATCAACGTCTTAGATGACTATGAAACATTTGTCAGAACTAAGTAATTAACATACATTACTATTCAATGAACTATAGACTTCATACAGGTATCACCAGTTTTTCTAATAATGTCCTTTTTCTGTTCCAAGACAGCCCAGAATATCACTTTGCATTTAGCATTGCATGTAGCTTTTTTTCTACTGCATATTCTTATTTTGTTCTCTCATGTCCAGAAGTGGCCAGTAGCCCCTAAGTTTCTTCAGAGCTACAGTATTTCCTCATCTGCCATCAACTCACCATGTCCCCACAATCTGTGTCCACACTCTTCATTGCTGTGAAACTGTTCCTGTGTAGCTCACC